TAAGCCCTCCACGAAAATATTTCAGCACAGCAGCAGCCATGAGGTGACCACGCTCGCTGCCTCCTGCACCTCAAAAATAATAAGACCTCCCCGAAAATAAGGCCAAGTGCTTATTTCGGGGGGTCAAAAGAAAATAAAACCCTGTCTAATTTTCGGGGAAACACAGTACTTAGTATTTAACTACCTCTTCCAGTCTGATGTTTTTCCAATTCCTTCAAGTGCAAAAACATTTATGCATTTTTTTTACTTAAAAGGCAGCAGACAATTTTTTTTGTGCCATTTCCAGTGCTCTTCCCGTTTCATCTTTCTTTCCCTTTCTATGTATCTGTAAAATCCCTGTTATCCCTCAGAAATGGTTTGATCTCCTCCGCCTGTTATCTTCTCTGATGCTATTGCATAGAAAAAATAGGGTTGAACTATGTCCTGTAGCAAAGCTTTGCATTGTAGAAAAATTACCTCTCCATAACTACATGCACTGTGCCAGTCAGCTATTGATATAATTGTACAACCTCAGAGGTTTCTTTTAATCAATGTTCCTAGCATTTGGAAAGCTTCAAGGACACAGTTAAGGAAGAAGTACTTAAGTAAAATCACTGGCTGGGCCTTGCACCAAAGAGCTTCTATGAAAAACAGCTTTCTTTTGTCCTGTTTCTTCTGTATATTTTGGAATATAAAGAGAATGCAGTGGTATGTTACATTGCAACCTCACCATGCAATGTTCTAACAAAGTTTCTAGGAGGTAGATTACAAGATAGATTGTATTAGTAGAAACTAATCAATCCTTTTAAATTAAATTAAAATGACGTGTGTATAATCACATACATGGGACATATAAGAAGATAAATATTATGTTACTGCTTTTCCCCAAACTTTCTTATTGTGTCATCTTCTCTTTATCAGTCAAAATTCTCTCTGATTCAATATAGCTTTCTTTTAGAGTTAGTTACTGCACCGGTTATTTGCTGCTTCATTGTGATGACTCAGTTTTCATTTCTAGGCCCAAATGGCCTAAGCAAGACCTAAGGGAAGAGGAGAAACAGCTGCAAATA